CAGTGGTTGTCTTCTCAGTGGAGCTAAACACAGTGTTCTCTGACTCATAACATGGCTTTGACTGCGTTTCATTCATGGGAGAAGTCATGTCAGCCAACACAGTTTGCTTAACACTTAAAGAATCATAAATGCAGCCCGAGTTATTCGTTGCTCCTTTAGTGCGATTCATGACCATCTCTAGGTGAGCATATTTAGACGCACAAGACACCGACTTGACCATGAATTCACAGTTTACCGGATCACTAACAGATCTTAAATCCCGAGCAGGATCATTACTGGTCTTCAGAAAAACAGTTTGTAAAGATGGGTTACACTTATTAACCATGGGATCCAGAACATTGATTTCTCGCAACACAGTTACAGGAGCTAAAACAGAGTCAGTCTTTGATTTAACAGCATCATGGACAAGATCCAAGTTCTCTTTGGCTTCTCTCTCAGCTCTATTCAACCTGGTGCTTTGCACAGTACAGCACGATTCAGACAGAATCTCAGACTCTGAGTTGTTAAGCTGCTTTTCTTGAAAAATACTCACATAACTTTGATTCTTAACAGATAAATTTAAACAAGGGCTAGTCACAATGTTACAGTCTCTGGACACTGCGCCAGGGGGTTCGTGATTTGCATTGTGCACTGGTGAAGTTTCATTAATAAACTCTATGGAACAACAGTTCTCAATAGGGTCTATACATGGAGAAGTTAAATTAACACAGTCCGTGGAGGTCTTCCCTTGTGAGTTGACATTGGCTGTCATGCTAGTAGGGCTGCTGCTAGCAGCCTCACTTGCAGTCACATGAACCCCGAACGCTGTGGCAGAAGTAATTTCAGTCTCAGAGCTTGGCTTGGCATGGCTCATTAGTTTACAGCCGGGCCCCTCAACCGGCAACCCAGTCTTATTCACAGAACCCTCCTTAGCGGAGACGTGAGGGGCAAAAACAGAGTCACTCACCTCCGTTTGTAGTGCGGCGCGTCGGTGGCGCGCACGCCGCTTTCTCTTGACAGTGGGAGACGGCGGAGCGATGGGAAGTCCCTGGCAGCTCCGGGGACCCCCGAGAGCCAGTCGAGTTCCCCGGAAGGAGTGCTCGTGCTCCGGAATGAGCCATGGCTTCCACCGGAGCTCCTCCTCCAATAGAGCGCTGAGTATAGTCTGACGTTCGTCGTGGTCCAAATCTATGGTGTCCAGCGCTTCCTCGCATTGGACCGTGGCAAGAGTGTGGCAAGACTGTGACGAGGGTGCGGAAATTGATGAGCTGAGAGGTGGTGACGCTGTGGCGAGTCTCAGCGAACCGACACGAACCGTCTCGGGCTCGCAAGGCAGCGGCAGTGATACCTGTTCGCGGTTTTGATGCTGCTGCAGTGGCAAAACGGTGCGAACAAAATCCTGCACATCCTCCGACAATCCCGCCGTGTAAGCAGGGTATGCAGACAAAATCTGTTTTAGCTGCACTCTAACTGCCTCCTTCTCCCTCTCCTGCCCGCATACGGAGTAGCAAATCCACTGTCCGCGGAGAATGGTCACTTGAGTGCTATACTCCCAAAAGTCCTCGCAAACAACCGCTGGGTCCATAATGGTCGGGTCGTTCTGTCACGGCGGGGTGCGCCGGTGTGTTTTTTGAAACAGGACCCAAAAGCAGAGGTGGACGAGGTGTTGCAGGTTTAAACAAAAAGCGATCCTTTATTTGGATGATTGCAGGGTTTAAACAAGGAACCCTAAGCAAACCAAAGAAACACTAAGAACAAATACTAAGAAGTTCTATGACTATGACTATGGTGGGGATAACAGACGACCCGACAATGACATGCAGAAAACAGAGGGCTTAAATACATACACGAGGTGATCAGGGGAAGTGGAGACACATGGGGGAACAGCTGACTGACATAAACCTAAATGACAGGACCAGAAGGAGGAAAACTAAATACAATGAACAAAGAACACATGACACTGTCAGAATAAAACAGGAAACACTAAAACTAGATATGACAACACAACTTAACAGACCTAATACGTGATGAATAATACAAGAACCCAGAACCTAGAAAACCAAGGGAACAATAATAAATAACAGCTTAAACTAAAGCTAGATAGGAAATGACACAAAACCCAATCACATATCAAAAATGAGACAAATACAAAAATGAACTCAGAGCGCTGGGTCAGAGACCCAGCCTGTGACAGAAGATTATCAAGAAAAGCGAATGAAGTTAGAAGTTCAGAGCGATGTGAGACTGATGTCTGTGCATCGTGACTGACTACACAGCTGTTGCTGTCCCAATATGAAACCACTCCTGAGCCAGGGACAATGTCAAAAGTAGTGGAATAAATAGAAAACTTCTCTTTTTAGATGCATTTTATTTGTAAATTAAGTTCCAGGGGTGTGAAGTGTTTGAAGACCAGTGAGAAGTTTCCACAGTGTGTGAACAGTTGCTTTGTCTTTGGTTGGTATCGATGGTGTTTGGTCAACTGTGTTTTATTCAGTCCAAAGTCAGTGCAGCCCGTTACCAGGATGTCATACTTCCATGAAAAGCTTTGTGGAGACACTTTCTCCTTTACCTTTATTTCCTTTTCCAGTGGGACTGGTCACCTACCGACGGTACCAAGACTGTTATTGGTCAGACTGATCGATTAGCCAACTTGGCTGAACCCCGTGGATAATCTGTGGAAGACCAGAAACACGCTATCCAAAAATATAGACAAACTTAAAGGCAACTTCTATCAGGCTTCAGTAACAACTTGTCACGGCTGCGCTGGCAGACCGTGGGGATGTGGGGAAGGAGGACCCGAACGCTGGACTCTTGCAATGCAAACAGTGCGTTTATTCACAGTGAAGAAAATACAATCCAATAATAAATCCCCGTGTGCTCCCCGACTCCCGTCCAGTGTCTTCTCCCCTTGCCCGTGGCTTTGTGTGTCCGCTCCCTTTATACAACGTGCTCACTGCCTCCTTGTTCCTACAGCCTTCCAGAAAAAAAACACAGAGGAGCCGTTAGTACACTTGTGTCAAAACGGACATCTAGCAGAGAAATTGACGGGTAGCCTCACGCAACGATCCCACGTTGATGGGAGCTCAGCCACTCTCTAAAGCAGGGGTGAGGAACTCCAGGCCTCGAGGGCCGGTGTCCCTGCAGGTTTTAGATCTCACCCTGGGTCAACACACCTGAATCACATGATTCGGTCATTACCAGGCCTCAGGAGAACTTCAGGACATGCTGAGGAGAACGTTTAGCAATTTGAATCAGCTGTGTTGGATCAAGGACACATCTAAAACCTGCAGGACACCGGCCCTCGAGGCCTGGGTTCAACACCTGTGCTCTAAAGTAACTCCCTCCAGACGAGGCCAATCAGCTGCAGGTGTGTGGCATCATCCTAGGTGTGGCCAGCCTCCTGGCAGGGCCCACCCACCAGGGTTGATGGTGCCTGTACACTGGCCTACCAGATACACCTGTACCCCCCCCCCCCCCCACACACACACACACACACACACACACCAGCAAGCAGGAAAACAAGGGACAGCAGCACAATACATTCAATATACATATAGCATATAATATCAGTCCAAATCTGCTCATGGACCCTGGGTTCCTCAGACCCAGGGTCCATGATTCAACACAGTGCTGCAAGCTTATTGGCTCCATGTTACGCCACACTGATCCAGTAATTCATGGACTCAACATACTAAGTGTGTAAATTAGTGCATTGTTGGTCATTTCTGTATGTTAAAATACTTTTTCATTGATATTAGGAAATATTCTAATAATGTGTGATGGTGGATTTCTGAATGACCAACGTGGACAGCCGGATCTTTAAACTGGCGTTGAAAAACCACACACAGCTATGCTTGTCATAAATCTAGAGTTATCAGCAGAGGTATCGAAGGGGCGACTCGAAGGATTCGGCGAATGTTTTAAACCAAAATGAAAACATTTTGCATGGCGAGCATGTTTTGGTAGTATTGAAACGAGCCTTCCGCTGCTCTGTGGTCCCAGCAGCACTTATTTCACAGTGTTTTCTTCCATAGCCCTAGAATGATGCTAATTATTCGTGTAATAGCTTGGATTTGATGATTCATCAGAGCCACAGACACCCAGAACATGAATTAACAGGCCAGTTGTAAGGAGAGGCAGCAGGATGAGCTGATGCTGGGTGCGGTTCCTCCCGTGGGAGAGCTGCTTGCATCCTGTCCTCAATTCTTGTGTTTCCACAGAAACAACCGTGCATCAATATTCCCTCCCTGCAAACCTTCACTTCTTCTTCTGCTGCTAATACTGGCGATCCTCTTCTAATAGGATAAAGGACAGTTTTACACGAGAAAGTATTACCAGCAAGACGTCCCCAGAGGCTAATGTATTAATCTGCCAGACAGAAGCTGCTGTGAATGTACTGCACAGACAGCTTTGTGAGTGAAAATCTCCAAGCCTCTGAGCAACCCTCTAAGGTGCCTAGAGTAGCAATAAAAGCAGACGATTGCACCCATAAAGCAGGTTTTTCCCAGCATCGCAGAGAATAACATTGTTGTCGGTCTGTAATATTATGTGGTAGATTCACCTCACAGAGCAAAAGCAAGCAGAGAACCACAAGTGCTCAAACCTGACATGAATCACATATTTCAGATGGGCTTTTTAATAAATATAATCTTTGTGGCTTCTGTATATATACACTGAAGCTCATTTGGATCCAGAGCATCTGCAGACACCTTTATTTGAAATAACGGTGCATTAATAAAACATGCTGCGTATTAAAAACAGTCTCTGAGTAAGTACGAGCTAAATTCTCTGTTTGCTTTGGCTGAAATAATTGTGTCACAATCTTGCTTTCAACATCAGCCCTAAAGCTCATTATGGCTGAGCACTAATGCAGCAATTACAGAGGGAGGGAGGGAGACGGCTAATGGATGGGTCACAGCTAGGAAGAGACTGTTTACCTCAATTTCTCCCTCATTTTCTGCATATGAGTCAGTGCCCTTCTGTACTTGTGCCTCAGCTCATATACTAATGTCCTGTTCGTAATGCATTTGTTCTTCCACATAGTCATCTTGCAGCTGCACGCTGAGGTTACCGCCGGCAACCCTCTAAATATGTCAGGGTGTTTCACTAATAACTTTATCTATAAAAGCCTGCAGGTGGAAATCAGAGGTCAGCTGCAGCAGCACCCATGTGCACATAAACACTGCTGTGCAGCTCACTTGCAGAGAAATGACACATGTAGTTTTATATTCTCAAACCAGCTGCATGTTTAATAATTAGCAGAGTTACCACTTTGCAGTTCAGAGGAAAATCTTTGATAATTCCACATTGATTGGAAATTGCCATTAAAGGATGAAAGCAAAATCAAAAGAAGACAAATTTTCCACGACTGTAACAGAACATGTTTGTGCTCATCAGGTTCCTTTCATTGCGACTTCTCACATTCGTGGGAAAATGTGAAAATGAGGTTTTGTCTGCCTTTTCTTTCAAAAACAAGTTTGTCTCTGTTCAAATAAGTTTGAGTCAGTAGTAATTAGACAATCCGCAATCAGTGTACTCACAGGCACTGCTAACAGCAAGCCACCTCCCTAATGTTCTCTCTACCTACTGCCTTGATAGCCTGGTCGCTGTTGTAGTCCTGCTTTTTTTCGTTTTATGAATCAATAAAGATTTATCAAGTACATAAAGTTAAAAAAAATACATTAACACTTTAAAACACTGTATTTCTTGTTGGAAGAGCACAATCTTCCTCTGTGCTGCCACGTCAGCGCTCAGTGCTACAAGACCGAGTGGATAGCGTAGAGATACAAACACTAGAACAGACTATAACAGTGTTCAGCTGATAAAAATGCTATCGTCTCAGCCATTTGGCGTGTTTGGTTGTGCTGACCACAAGCTTTTCAGGCTTTATTTCATTTAATGTGATAATTATGTCAGTCTCCATCTTTCTTGCTGATTCCTTCAATTCAAAATTGAGCTGTTATCTCTTCTCCTCCACTTTGTGTATACTTTCCTCTGGTTGCTCTCCTGCCCTTGTCAGTATTAACTCAGCTGCCTGCTGTCCCTGCAGCTGCCGTCGAGGCCTGCCTGGGTCACCTGCTGAAGAGACGAGCTGCTGGGTTTCTCCGCAGCGACAAGATCGCAGCCCTCTTCACCAAGGTCGGCAAAGTCTGCGACACCGCCGGCGAGGTTTGCCGTAAAGTGCAGGAGCAGCTCCAGCAGCAGGCTGATCTTACCAGGTTGGTCACGCAGATGTCGCCGACCCCTCCTGTTGCTTTGCTTTTACTGTCTGCTGTGCTGAATTCACCCAAATCTGTCCCGAGGCAGCCATGACGCATCGCTTACTAAATGCTTTTCGAACCCCTGTCATGATTCCACATTAAGGTTTCAGTTCATCACTTTATGACGAGAGCAGCAGGACCGTACCTGACTCCGCCACCATTAGTGCAAACGGAGTGAATCTGTCGTCTTAATTAGAAAGGGAGAGACTCTGTTCCCCATTTCAGCCCAATTTATGAAGGAGGATAAGAAGACTGTTAGTGTAGCCCTAATTATTCACCTGAACTTTAAATGATTAAGGGACAATAAATGTGGTAGCAGAGACAGTTTTATGACAGGGTGGACAGAATAACAGACAAACGAGGTCTCCCCACAGTTGATGCTGTTGCTCTGAAGATTACAGAAATGTGATCTGTGTTAGTTATGATAGCGATAAAGAAATCACACAAAAATCATCCAAGTTATTGCAACAGCTGCCCTAAATTAACATTAATGCTTCTGTGATGCCGAATGCACCAGTGTTTGCATGTTCTTTAACTGGAATGATATTTTAATGATAAAATAAAATTATTTTATTATATAATGTTATCCATCCAAGCAAATTATTATGTTTTGATTAAGATGGCAAATTATAATTACTGACTCGCTTTCCTGTACAGAAAAAAACGAATGAATGAATATGCTTGTTTCATTTCTGACTTCTCAGCGTCCACCAGGCTCAAATTTGGGTATAAAAACGTCTCTAATCTCAGACACAGTCCATGAAAATGCTCTAGGTCAGTATTTCCCAACCTTTTGGAGCCACAGCATGTTTCACATTAGAAAAACCACACAGCACACCAGGCATAGCGGAGTTAGCTCGGATTGTCCCCAGTTTACCTTTTTTGCTTTCTTATGATCACTATTCATGCTCGGCCTTCCTCTCGGTCCAGGACCAAGGTCAGACTGACTTTTTCCTTTTCAAATGACTATTACCGTAATTGTCGGGCTATAAGCCACTACTTTTTGCACCAGCTTTGAACCCTGCGGCTTTTAGTCAGGTGCGGCTTTTCTAAGGATTGTCCGTGATTTTTGTCATATCGTAAGACGATTTGTTTTGTTTGTTCCGCTGTTGTACGGCACTACGTTGCCTGGCGGAAGGGCATGTGATCAGACACAAAGTATCGGGGTTCAAGAGTGGTATGTTGGTCACGTGTCTGTCCGCCAGGCAACATAGTGCCGTACAAGTAGCGCGAAAAACAAACTTCAAAGTAGCGTTCAGCGGGAGTCGTGGATGATGAGTGGCGATAAACTTGCGAAAAGCAAGTTATGCTCAACTCCACCGGTGGATTCTGACAGCGTGGAAAAGTGTGCAAACATCCACGATCACCAACGGATTTTGAAGGGCTGGACTACTGCATGATGGAGAGGAGGACACCGCCACGGCCCTTCTGAGGGTGTTCGACTCTGACACTGACAACGAGGATTTCTTTGGTTTTGAAAGTGACAACGAAGGAGAGAAGCGGAGAGTGGATGACGAAGCCACCCTGAGCCTGTTCGTTTCCGACACTGGAGAAGAGGACTTTGGTGGTTTTAGTGCGCAGGAAGAAGAGGAAGATGGTGGTGAATGACTGACTTTTCTTCTTGTTAAAGCCGTGTCGCTGCACCTGAGCCTGAAAGGTAGTCCGGATCTATTTTTCTGGTGTGCTGTAGGTTATTGTTATGTACTACATTTGTTACTCATTTATGAAGCACAGCACATGTGCAAATATGTACCCATAACTTGTTTTTCAAAATATTAACAAAAGTGGTGTGTCTCCAAACAGCCATCTCTTTCCTGACAATTCGCTTTGTGCATATTCTCTTACATATGATAAGTCAACATTGAAACACCTGCGGCCTTTAGTCAGGTGCGGCTAATGTATGTACAAAACAGGATTTTCCCCTGATTTTAGCTTCTGCGGCTAATATTCAGGTGCGCTTTGTAGTCCGGGAAATACGGTACATAAATTCTTCTTCATCTTCTCCTGTTTTACTGGCAGTTGGCACCATTTAATTAGAGCAGGTAGTTGTACTGCCCTCTAGTGGAAGAGAATGTAATTGTTCTGCCCTGATAGCTTAGAGTACTAATCAGGTGAAACCAGATAATCTTCCATGGCAAAGGTCTAGGTGATGTCAGACACCTGGAGACTTGGCGGGGAAAAGCGAATGGTGGCTCAGAGTTAAACAAATACTGGACTCAATCGATAAGCGACTGTCCAGCTTTCAGGTTTCAGCTGTGGGACTTTGTCACTTGTCTAACTGAGAATGTGACCCAGCTGAAGAAAATAAAAAAATAAAAGAGAGTGTCATCGATCTCCAGGCCCGTAGCATGAGATTACCTTCAGGTAACTTTTGAGGAGCAAAAGTTACCATTAAAACCTTCATGAAGACCCACCTGAAGCTTCGGGAAGACACTGTAAAGAACATCACCTTCCACCGTGTTCATCGCAGGGAGCCAGGAGACCGCGACCTGTTGTGGCCAAATTCAAAGATTTCATGAGGAGACGGTGAAGAGTCGCGACCCCAGCACCTCTCCCTGGTTGTATTAACGCCACTCCAGATGAGAATGCACTGCCTTTTTCTCTCCTCCTCTTCCCTTATCTGTCTAGCTTATTCATGTCAATTTGTTAATGCAACGTGACGTCATAACAGATCAATCACCCTCAGTCACCGCAGCGTAAACGTGACGGTTACTATGTTCTTGTTTTCCTTCGAGTTTCCCTTTCATCTCTGCCTCTTGGCCCTTTGCATGTTCTTCTTCCTTTTCTCTTCCCTCACTCTACAGATCAGCTGTTTTCCTACTTAGTTACAAACAGCGTACTCTTTTCACTCCTTCTCAACCCCAACGTCCCCCCAATTAGTTTTCTTTCTTGTTTTTCTGCTTCTGCACCCTTGGTCTTTACACAAAGATTATTTCATTTGCACACCACGATCACGCAGATACACACTCAGTGTCACCACATCCACTACATCATATAAGTTAATGTGCACACATATAATCAGACAACACCAAACACCACTCGGGTCTACATACTGCCACACTTTCTTACAACCGATCGACGTGTTTTTTCTCATTCACTTGAGCGTCAAATGCAGCGTTCAACATTAACTACACACACCCACAAACTATGGGCAGGATGAGTTGCAGCAAGAAAGCCATCGCTAGGACATCAGAATAAGACAAAGAGGCTTGCTTGGGCCATGAAACACCACCATTGGACTACTGAAGACTGGAAGAAGGTATTATGGACTCATGAATCAAAATTTGGATTTTTGTAGAATCTTTGTACGCCGTCGAGTAGGTGAAAGGATGGTTGCACAGTGTGTATCATCAACTGTCAAACATGGAAGAAGAAGTGTGATGGTCTGGGGCTGTTTTTCTGGATCCAGGGTGGGTGACTTGTACAGAGTGAGAGGCACCCTGAACCAAAAGGACTACCACAGCATTCTGCAGCACCATGCAGTACCCTCTGGTACCCACATAGCAAAATTGGTATGGCCCGGATCTGGACTACACAATGTGCCTACACAAGGCCCACATACCGCAAAGAATGACGGCCCTTTGGTGGCCCAGACCTGGTTTGCCAGAGGTGGCCCACACATGGGCCAGCACAAGGCCAGTTGCAGATGCACTGGTGGCCCTGTGCTGGCCCAGAACAGTTTCAGCTCTGGCCCCAGATGTCAGCCTAATGTGAGCCTTAATCAAGCCATGTAATAAGAACATGTGCCAGAATGTAATAATGCAAAAGTAACATGACGAAACTCTGTTTAGAGAGTGAGTGGACTGATTCTTGAATAACGCTTTTCTACTCTCCCAGATTACTCAAAGTGCTCTATACAACACGCCACACTCACCCAATAACAAACATGAGTAAACCGTCACTAGGTTTTGGATAAAGTGTACACTCACAAACCTGTCAAACCTGCATTTGAAACGTTGGTGTGTACTGTGTTCATCGCAGTACCACCACATTGCTAAGAAGACTGTCCCCATGAAGTGGAAAAACAAAAATAATCTTAGTATTAACCGATATAGAGCTCTTTTGCTGGACCATATTAGCCTTGAGACAGCCTCTGCCGCCACATCAGATCAATCTCTCTGGGTTCCTTTGATCGCTCCATCACCTAGTGGGGTTAGGGGGGCGTACGGACTTGGGGGGTCTGGCGGTTGCCTAGGGGTGGGTTTCTTGAGGGGTTCTGTGCAGGAGCTGTGGTTCTGACCAGAATGGGGCTTTGGTGTCTCTTGGGTGGTGTTTTTCTGGCGGCTGCCTGGCCTGGTCACCGCTCTGCTCCTTGGCAGGTCCAGGGTGGGCTTGGAGACTTGAGATACAGGGGGCACTACGCCTTCGAATTAGGGTTCTGGTTGGGCCTGGGGGGTTTGGGCCGTGGTTGGTGCATGCGCTGGGCCCTGCCCAAGCCCGGGGGTCTTCGGTGCATTGGTGGAGGAGGAGGTTTTTGCCATCTTTTTGCAGGTGCTCTCTACTTTGACTTTTGTTTGCTGGGTGATGCTGTGTATGAGCTAGTTTGTGCATATTAGCATATTTAAGTCATAATGGTAGACAGAAGAATTTGCTTGTAGTTTTTTTTAATTGTGAGATTTTTAAAAGATGTGCAGTAGCATTTTAAATTATTGACAACATCTGCCTGATTCCATCGATTCTGGGCTTATTGATTGAACTTGTTAAATTAGGTGTTTTCACTTCAAAGGCTACTGTTGCATTATTGTTAGTCCATATTTATGTTTTAAAGTTTCACTATCTTCATAACGTCCACTTGGGCCCGGTTGGGTTCTAGAGCCATAAAATTCGTCATCAAAAGCACAAAGGTCCACTAGGACGTCCAAATGCCTTCCAGTTTTTGTAAAACACACAACTGGAGATATATCTCCAGTGTCTGTCACCAGCAGACACAATATCAGCTCAGTTGAGTGTTTGCTAAG